TGGATGGATGGATGGATGGATGGTTAGATAGATAGATCTATTCTAATTCTAAAGTTTTTATATTGTTTTCCTATTATACATATGGGCATATATGTTATATAAATACATTGGGGTCAATTTAATGAAGAAAATTAGCTTGTTGATAAGACAACACTGCACTTTTCTGAAAAGTCTTACCACAGAATTTATACCTCTTAGAAAAAGAATGAATCTTCAATAAACTTGTTTATCCAAGCAACCCTAACATGGTTAAGATTTTCTGTTCATGTGATGTACATCATATAAAATCAACAGGCAAACAGGCATTCTAATATTTTCATTACTGAACATTCTATTTCAGATAATCATAAAACAAACCCAATTAGTGTTACCTAAATGGAAGTGATCTAGATGTGGAAGATCTTTAGACAAATCTGGAAAAAACAAATATAGGCATTTTTTTCCTTTATAGGAGACCCTTAGATAAGTGTGACCTGAAGTAATTCCAAACAGACTGGGTTTTTCATTTTACAAAATTTGTGTATTTTTTTATGTCACATGTCAAGGCCTAAATCCCATAGCTCTACATATAGATATAGGAATTCTTAAAAATGGGGGAAAAAGGCATGGTAATTCTGTTAACATTACAATAAACAAACTCAAAATTCCTAGAGGTACATAAGTTGACAGGCTTTTAACATCCACATTTTAATTATCAGTTTTGAGGAACCCAAAACTTGTAGGTTACTGGAGCTACATTATATCCTTTAAAAACTAGGTCTAAGTTCACACCAATAGGAGAACATAATTTGAGATAGAATTTCATCCTTTAGTATTTCTATCTACTTAAAAAAAAATCCACTTGTTAACAGTTAAGGATTCATTGCACAAGGAATGACGGTCACGTTGTCACCCTTACTTAATGGTTCATTTCAACAATTGCACTAATTCAAAATTGAAACAAACAAACAAACATCAAGCTGCCCCGGATCCCGCCCCACTGCAAATAAGCAACAGAAATCTAGCCAAAAACTTCAGGAGTCTGTGTGAAAAGAAGCCTCTAGCATACTTTGGAGAAAGAAATGTTTTTATAAGACTATCTGTATTCATCCATGTCATTGCTCAAAGATAGTTTAGGAAAATAAAGAGTTTTGGGAAGCAAATCAAGAATGAATGGTCATCCTAACTAGATATGGAATAACAGTCTGTATACTTAATATATTCAGTTTCAACATTTATTTAAAAGTTTCCATATAGAAAGTGAAAGATTTTTTAATAGATGCAGAAAAACTGGGTTCCCAATTCAGACTACCCTATGTGACTTTTGTCATTATCATCTTTTCTGATTCTTACAAAGTAAACCTAATTAAGAACCTCCCTCATTAGTCTTCCAGAAAAATTAGCACAACTTATGCTAATTACTCCTGCAAAATTTAATAAACTCGTTGAAATGGGAATAGTCTAATGAGGTTTTATTTATTGAACTAAGATAACTCCAAGTAAAAAGGTTAGGACACAAGGATATCCAATGTGGTAATAAAACTCCTATTTATTCAATTTCTAAACATGAAGTTTATTGCAAACCTTTTAAATTGAAATACTAGTTACTCTGTGAATATGTTAAATCAATCTCCACCTTAATTCAATAACTAGAAGTCATTTTTTGCTTTTTACTTTAACAATAATTACCACACATAGCCCTTTACCTCAAAAATAATGAAATCTGCTGTTATTAGTTCCTGGTCATTTGCTATTGAACATAACACATTTGACTTTTCCCATGTCTACGCAGCTCAAATATCTGGATCACTGAGTGCAGGCTGGGTTATGTGCTTCTTAATCAAGCTATTTGGCATCACACAGAAATGTAACCTGGCATTCAACTCCAGATGTGCGCTTCCTACATTTACAGCATTTTTTCTATAAACTTTTTTGAAGTGACTTGACAAATTGTCATGATTGTAGAAAGAATTGGGGTCATATTTTTCTTAGTCGGTGCATGCCATAAGGATGAAGTATAATAGAAGCCCCTTTTCTAAATCACCGTTTGCAACTGCTGATTTTGTTAATTCCACTTTTTTGATAGGATATGCCAGGCTGATGTCCCAAAGTCACTGGTAGCAAATAATACAGCCAAAATTTAACACAGAAATAGCTTGCCCTGCACGATTGTACTATGACCAGAAAGCCTCTTCTCTCTACCCTATAAATAGTTTTCCTGAATAACCACTGCTAAAAGTCTTTTGACTGATAAAAATAGCAGTGTTCTCCAAAATTCCGAAGGACAAGCAAAGAGAGCTAAAAATTATTGGTGCTCAAAAGTTAACTGCGTGTTAAAACTATGCTAAATCCTAATGCAAAGATTGCCTGTACTCTCAGCTCTGTAATTGCATATAGTATGCATCTGTTGAAAAGTTTCTATTGCTACTGAAGGCAGGCCTCAAAGCCTATTTTTACAAAATATTCAGAGATTCGCATCCATAAATCTGAAAGCAAATCAAACCCTAAGCACGCAACACAGATATTATGCAATCAGTAATATAGAATCAAATTGGAAACTACGAAATTCAAACACAGTTGCCATCATTTTTTCCCCTTTGCAGCAATATTATGGAATTGAAAAACCTTTTCTATTTTGCCCTTTCTTGCATAAGTTCTTTTCTTGTTGTTATTCTCTTCTCTCATTGTTAAAAATGGAAGTTTCACGTATCAGCACAGACAGGACTGGAGCTTTTAAAACCTTTGGCAGCCTGAACGACAAATAAATTCTGAAAACTCAGATGCAAATAAAAATAGCTAAATGGGGTTTTGCATATCAACTGGCATCATTGCATGAAAAGATAGTTCATCAGAGACAATGGCAACAGCCAGCGAACAAACATATGCTGTGGGGCTTGTGCACATACACTGAGTTTCAGCTGTTTTTAAAGTACTTCTATCTGAAGAGACCAAGATTGGATACACACTGTTTTCTACTTTGTCAAACCAAAAGGGAAAAAAAAAATGAAAAGGATAAATGTCATGAGTAATATCTCCGAAGCCACCAACAGCATAAAGTGCATACTTATTTTGCCTAAATTGTTTGAACTACCCCAGCCAAGAAAAGGTTTTAAGTACCCTTCTGGGACAGATGCAAGGCGGCAACAATAGAAGCCACACTAATGCAATCCAGGTAACACAATCCTGTTTCAAAAACAGGGGCCAGGCTAATTACAGTGCTGCTGAGTCAAGTTTCTTATGCCATCGCAACCCACAGGAACAGGTCAAAATCAAATGTTATTCAAACCACAGTCATATCAACCTTCTATATCAGAGTCACAGCTTCAAACCAAATGAAGAACTTAAAAGCTTAACCCATTCACAAGCAAAAAAAAAAAAAGTGTTTTCATTGAGGGTGGCAAGGTAAGGTTCTTGTCATCATCTAAACCAAAAGGAACTGCATGGCAGAACAAAATGTTTATAGTTTCAAAGTTTTTGGGGACTATTTGGGCTGATCTTTTGATCAGTACACTTTCTTTTCAACAGAGGAGTAAGAAAAATGTTTAAAATAACAAATGATATTTTGGAGAGGTAAATTTAAATAAAACAAACCAGCATAAAGGTTAAATTCACTTGTGACCTTATTCATTTGGAGATTTATGTTCAATCACAGAAAAAGCAATTATATGAACAGTATATCTGCTTTTGTAGATAAACATGTTATCCTAATTCTATAGGTAGCACACACATCACCATATGTCAAACTTTCTCATCTTTTAACTTTGAATCAAATATACTAATACTTTTATATGGAGCAAAAATATATATATATATTAGTGAATATTAGTGAGGAATATTTAGTTAAAATATCTGATTGAAATGTAACCTTTATAAAGCTACTTGGCAATCAATTGGGTTCAAGCCTGAAGACTCACATAATCCAAAATCGACAATCAATCTTTTGGCATAAATTATGATGAAGCAAAGTAAACATCTTGTTTTTTGTTGTTGTTGTTAACTGAAAAATGATAAAATGAGTCCAAAAAAGATAGAAAAAAAGATTTTTTTTCTTTTGTTGTTGTTGTTGTCAAAAATCAATATTGCTGAAACCCAAAAAGGAACTTTTGTTCAACCGTTAATCTCCTCAATGAGGGATCGGTCAGTCTTATTGGCAAGACTCTTTTTCCAGCTAGTACAAGATGCTAGCTCTTTTCCTAGCTGACAATTGACAGTATCTATAAACCTTTCAGACCATTTAACTCTCAATGAGTAATGCTATGTAACAAATGGTTTATCATACATGTTTCCATACAATGAATTTCAATAATTAAAATGTAAAATGAATATTTGGAATGCGACTTTGCATAATGCGTGCACACTGACTTGAAATTGCACCGAACAACTAAAACAGATTTATTGTTCTACAGTGATTTACTTGGTCATGTCAGATTAGTAATATGGATCTGTTTAAAAACACAATAATTAAGACAAGCAGGATAAATTAATCAACTTACAATATAGTCTCATACTGCAATCAAACCCAGCAAATAACAGTAGAAAATCTTGGTTCACAGATCTCTTTAAACTGCTTTTATGCATAAATAAAACCTTAAAATGTAGATGGATTACGTCCAACAGAACTACTGTAGCTAAAAGTGATAATGATTCAAACATTTTTCAAATAAAAGTTAAATATTTATAAGCACCCAACCACATTTCATAAATCACAAACTATTATTATTTTATTTCTGAAGCTTCCTGGCACAGCATGAGGATTGAGCCACAGAAAGTCAGGAAAGAAAAAATATATTCCTTTAGGAGCATGAATCAGGCAAAAACCGGAGCAATCCAAGGAACAGGCCTCTAAAAGAACATTCCATATGGCTTTCCCAGGAATCAAAATCGCTCAGTGCAGCATAAGTCAAGACCAACAGGCAAATTTCGGCCACATGCATTCCTAACCCTCGCCCATGAGCAACACAAGGGCAGGTGTTTCATTATAATGAGGAATAAGAATCCAGTGAAAGAAGAGTGGTCCCTACCTGTCAATTATCACTGGATCTGAGGGAGTCTCATTTCGGTTGCCACAGCTTTTCTTGTCACAACAGCGGCTATGGAGCAAAAGCGAAAGGATTTAGTACAACCATTACAATGTAAAATCATCATTTAGGCAGACAGAAGGCTCAAATTGCTGGGTTGCAAATGCTAGAATTACCACAAAGCCATACCTGGCAATCAACGGATCCCTGGGACAGAAAATTCTATTTGGGTCACCTATGGGTTAATGGCCAGGCTTAACTTCTCCCTGCTCAGAGAAGGAGGTGGGGGAGAGGGGCTCTCCCAGAGCCAAGATTGAGAGCCCCAAGATGGGGTCTCCCCATCACTGCCCGCGGTGCTGGCAGAGTTCACTGTGAAGTGCACTATTATTACCTCTACCCAATGAGAATATTCGAGGTTGTGGGTGGCTCAAACGTTCTTCCCTCAAGATCACACTAATTGTGTGGAACGCATCAATAATGAAGTATGAGTGATTTCTCCCCCTCCAGTCATTTTGTATTAAATGGATTCCTTTTTCTTCTCTTTTCTTCTTTATGGGCGGCATTTCCTTCAACCACAGCCTTTCCAAAAATCCTACAGCTAGAACTGTTTGCTTTTGAACCATTTTCATGAGAATAAAGGTAAAACACAATAATTAAGACAAGGAAGAGGCAAGATAAAAGAAAGTGGAGATTCACATTCCTCTGGCTATAAAAGCCTGCTCTGGCCCCCACTTCAGTTTTCTGGGGGCATTATGGACATTGGAAGTAAAGATTAGCACAGCTCTGTGAGAGGACGCTCTTTATATTAGAGAAGGAACAGCCTATAGGCTCAAAAAGTACCCACTACTAAAATCTCCCCCGCCAGGTGTGGCTGCCAGTTTTTTAAAAACTGAGATGCCTTCTAAAGGGTGAACATTTTATGTTTTTGAAAAGTACAACGATCAACAGAAAACAATCCATCTGAAACTTGTTTGCAAATAAAAACAAGATCTGCACCAGGGGCACACTTACAAAAGCAGTGAAGTAGATGGGGAGGGAGGTCCTCCAAAAGTTGTATTTCACCAGGCACCACAAGCAAATATGCAGTTCTTGCTCTTACACACACACGCGTACACACAAAGAGATACACGCATACATGCACACTTGCAACTTAGTGAATCACACAGCCTACATTTAGAGGGCCGTTGGAGAGAATCAAATATTGAACTTCATCTTCAGGACCCAGAAATATACCCCTACGTAGGGAGTCCTTCACCAAAATTGGAAGGTCTCTTTTCTTGCCATAACTATGTCTCTGAGAAGAGAATTAGTCTCCACTCTTAGGTGTCTTCTGTTTTTCTTTCATATATTCAGAGAGTAAGAGTAAGAACTGCATCTCCTTTGACAAAGCCTCAGCTAAAACCACTCTGTCTATCTTATAGCCTTTCACCTTCTGACTCAGAGGGAACTATTTCCTCCAGGCCTGAGTTCTGCTATATACTGCTACTTTGGGGATGGAAAACCCAAAGTATCTCGATATCTAAGAGACAGATAAAGTAACAAGTAGCTGAAGCAGTGGAAAATACGAGCAGTTGAAATGCATACCAGAAAATACATAAAAATGTAACTCCTCCATCCCTGAACTCTGATCCCCTATACCTACATATCATGGGCTTCTCAGAATAGTAGAGTGGTTAAGAACACTGGTTCTGAAATCTGACAGAGATGCCTATGTCAACTTGAGCAAGGTAATTCACCTCACAAGATCTCAGTTTCCTCATCTGTAAAATGGAGCGATTTCAGGACCCATCTCTAAATGCCAGGGAACAGGCTTGAGGCAATAAGGGTATAAAGACTTGGCTTCATGACTGGCCTCAGTAAAGCCACAATGTAGCATCATTATCACCCCCTGAACCTACCTCCTTCAGTCCCCTCCTCCTTCAAGTCCAAGCAAATCTGCCCTGTGCTCTGCAGAAGCAGCAGGTCTCCAAAAGCAGCCCATCAACAGAGCCCACATCTCCTTTACCCATGGAGGAAAACTGTCAGGTGAGAAAACCTACTTCTCCTTCATTTTCCTTTTCAAAACACCAAGTAGGCAATGCAAGCTGCCCACAGACCTGCCTGGGAGAAACGTCCTCCAGGAATTCCTCCAACCTGCTTGCTGATACCCATGCACAAGGGTCTGTTTTTCAAGCCTATCTGATTTACTGCTTCCCCACTACACCATCTCCATCCAAGTCCTTGGACTCTGCAGTGGCTGCCTACTTTTCTGTCTCCACTCTGACCGCCTGCAAGAGCCAGAGTGAGCTTTTCCAAATGTCAGTGGTACTGTGCCACCTCACCGCCTGAGACCTTTTAGTGGCTTTCCACTGCACTTAGAACAAATCCATGACATGACATGATACCAGACCACCTCCCAACCTCCTGCCCCCTTCCTCCAACTTGCCAAACTCCTACCTCACTGGCCCATTTCAATCCCTCTCAGTTGTGCCCTGTTCAATCTGACCTCAGGCCCGGACCCTGGCCGACTCTTGCCTGGCGGGCCTCTCCTCCAAACTTTCCCTAGTTAGCCAACCTTTTCTCACCCTCAGAGCTCAGCCTATAGCTCTTTCCCCAGAGAGGTTTGGCCTGACACCCCACCTTTAATCAAAATTAGGTTTTTTCTGTTTTTTTTTTTCCTTCCAAAAAGCACTTAACACAATGCAAATTATATTTTTACATATATGTTATTGTCTTTCTCCCTCTTCCTATTCTTCTCTTCCTTTAACTCATAGACTTCGTAGAGGAAGAAACTATCAATTTTATTTACCTAATGAGCGGCGTAAGGCCTGGGGTAGAACAGAAAAGCTCAAATATTAATTGGTTGAATAAATTAATAATTTTATGAATGAATGTTATATATTAGGGGGCAAATACAATCCAGAAGAATAAAAGGGCGACAGATAAATCTAAACTGACCCTCTGGGCAGGCATTGTTGATGGAAGGAAGATGCACCCCACCCCACCCCATAGAACAAACCACCTCCCCTAGGCATGCCACACTAGGCCTGAGATTTTTCCTTTTGACTTAAGCACGGTCGTCATCTAAAAATAAAAATGCTCCTGAGAGCAGCCAGACGAATTGAAGCATTCCTTTCTAAGGGACCCAGGGAAATAGGCAGATGCAAGGAGCAGAAGTATAGAAGGAAAGATAGAAATGAAATGGGGAGAATGAAGAAAAGTACAGAAAAAAGAATAAAGGGCTGGTGGTCACTCTCCACTTACAAAAAAACTTTATGCCAAGTACAAAAAATAAGCCCAACATGTTTCCTGTTTCTTGGGTCACATCACTGTATCACATAAGTCATTATTCCTGAAATGGGCTATTCCAGCTTCTGTTCTGCACCTCAAAATAGTGTCTGCTACAAAATAATGTCTACAATATGATCCTGTTAAATATATATATATATACACACACACACATATATATGTGTACATACATACATATGGGTGTGTACCTATATATATGGATGGGTGTGTACACATACATGTGTATATGGAATTCTGTGCAGCATTAAAAAGAATGAAGGTAGGGTTAGAAGCACCAGCACGGAAAGAAATCGACAGTATATTGTGAATTGAGAAAACCAAGTCGCAGAATACTATTCAGAGTGTAGTCCCATTTCTGGGAGAAAAATGAAAGCATGAAAGAGTGAAAGGGAGAGAGGGAGGGGAAGAGATGGTTTTTACACGTATGGTTCACTCCCTCACTTCATTCAAGTCTCTGCCTAATGTCATGGCTTTAGAAATGCCTTCCCTGCCGCGCATGGTGGCTTATACCTATAATCCCAGCACTTTGGGAGGCTGAGGTAGGTAGATCACCTGAGGTCAGGAGTTCGAGACCAGCCTGGCCAACATGGTGAAACCCGTCTCTACTAAAAATACGAAAAAAAAAAAATTAGCTGGGTGTGGTGGTGGGCACCTGTGATCCCAGCTACTCGGGAGACTGAGGCAGGAGAATCAGTTGAACCCGGAAGATGGAGGTTGCAGTGAGCCTAGATCGCACCATTGCACACCAGCCTGGGCGACAAGGGCGAAACTCCATCTCAAAACAAAAAAAAAAAAGAAAGAAAGAAATGTCTTCCCTGACTGCCCTAGAGCACTCTAGCTCCTTATTCTGCTTCACTTTTCCTCATAGCGCTCACCATGTTGCATTTTATATTCATTTCTCTTTTATTGTCTCTGTCACCTGAATATAAGCCCCGCAAAGACAGTCGTAGACCGTTTTGTTCACCCCTGTATCCTTAGCAACTAGAACTAAGCCTGGCACACAGTAGGCCATCAGGAAATATTTCTTAAATGTAGGAACTTCAAAGAGTTAACCTATACAGAGTGGAACAGGCAGTGGGGAAGAATGGAAGATATGCATTTAATTTTTATATTTTTGCAGTGTTTTGCTTTTTTTTTTTCTTTTTGTACTCCCAGGCTGGAGTGCAGTGGTGTGATCTCAGCTCAGCTCACGGCAGCCTCGACCTCCTGGGGCTCAAGTGATCCTCCCACCTCGGGCCCTTAAGTAGCTGGGACTACAGGCACATGCCAACATGCCCAGCTAATTTTGTGTATTTTTTTTGTGGAGGCTAGGTCTCACCATGTTGCCCAGGCTGGTCTCAAATTCCTGGGCTCAAGCGATCCACCCAGCTCGGCCTCCCAAAGTGTTGGGATTACAGGCGCAAGCCACCACGCCCAGCCTAGTGTTCTGCTTTATATGGCAATATGTTTTTATATTCAAAATTAAAAATCAACCACAAGTGGTGGAAGGAAAGACTTCTTGTAGACTGAGCTGATATCAAGCCCCCTGTGGCTTCCTAGAGCCGAGCAGAGCAAGGACCTCTCCTTTGTCGCCACGATCCTCTATCCTGCCCATGTGAGTTCTCCCTTTTCAGGTGGAACTGCCCATAGTTCTTTCTGCTAAGCTCAGAAGGACCAAGAGTGGGCACCAACCTCCACTATACACAGGAGAGGCATTAACCAGGAAGGAAAAGCTGAAAGGAGAATGAATTCACTTATGTTTAAGGCAGAAGAGGGCTCATACTGAAACAATTCCGTAGATGAAA